TTTTTTTTTTATGGTAATATTTTCTTGTTTTTAAAAACTTTTTATTATAGGGTCTCCCTATGCAGTTCACTCATACTGATTCTCCTGCCTCAGCTTCCCCAGTGCTGGGATTACAGGTGTGTACCACCACGGCCAGTTTCAGGGGCCAGCATGGCCTGCAGTACTGGGGATCAATCAGGATCTTGTGCTTGCCAGCAGGCACTTAGACTGCCGAGCTAGCTCCCCAGCCTCTTGAAGCTTTTCATGATAATCAGTACAGCTGTGCTGATTAAAGCTCCTGCCCTTCAGTGCCTTGTCTCCTTGGTGTCATGGACAGGTGGCTGAGCCTTGCCTGCTAGGCCTCCTGGGCCATTGGGTTTTGCCCTAAAACTCTACTGGCACCAAAATCAAAATTACAAAAGGTAAGAGCCCTGAAGGATGAGGTACGCTATATGCTTTCTTTTTCTTTCTTTCCTTTTTTTTTTTTTTACTAAATTGTCCAGGATGGCTTCAAACCTGTGATCAGTTTCAAACCTGCCTCAGCCTCCCAAGCAGGACTATGGTTTTGTTACTGTTTTTGTTGTTTATTTGGCTTGGTTTGGCTTTGATTTCCCTTTTAAATATGGGGCCTATGTAGCCCAAGCTTTATATATTTGGTACAGGGTTTCACTACGCAGCTGGGATTCATAGTGATCCTCCTGCTTTCAGCCTCCCCAGTACTGGGATTACCGGCGTGCACCACCACACCCAGACTCAGTCACCAGCTCAGCAAGCCCAGGGGGTGGGGCTGGCACAGCACGTGGGACTAGGGGTCAAACCCTGGTTCCTGCACTTGCCAAAGCAGGCGCTTAGTCCGCTAAGCTATCTCGCCAGGCCTTCCCAATTTTAGAAACAGCTGGGTGTGGCGGTGTGTACCTCTTTAGTCTCAGCACTTGAGAGGCTGAGGCAGGAGGATCACCAAGAGCAGGAAGCCAGTTTGGGCTACACAGTGAGCTCAAGTCCATCCTGGAATTCATAGTGGGACCCTGTCTGTCTGT